AAGGAGCTCCCTTGCAGGGTGAGTGTACAGTCTGTCCTTAGCTTCCTAGGAACCTCTACCAATGGTGCATGCCAACTCACTTAGTCGCTACCAGCTTGGTGAACAGAGTGGTGTATATTCCATACCGCAATGTCCAACCTAAGACAGCGGTCAGACTTCGCGATGACGCACTATAATGTGCTGTAAAGCACTTGAAAAGCAATTGCAACAGCACTCCAACGTTATAGACCAAAGCAGTCGCGGACGCTAATCGGGCGCCGTCCGCTCATGTATTGAGATGTATGGGGGAACGTTGCTCAATCAGGCAGTGTGGCATTGGTCAGCACTTGCCACTAGAGCGGCGCAAGCGGCGCTAATCGATTCCGTTCTGTGGCTGTGTTCGCATCTTTGTTAGAATTGCAGAGCTGTTGCAATTGTAGCGCGTCGACGCGCATTACAGCGCGTCATCGCGCGTTAGAGAGAGTCATCGCGATGTGTGAACGCTGCCTAAGGCTCCCTTGATATCAGTGTGCTTCTCTACTTGTTTGCGGACAAATTCACAAACCCCCTTTGGTTAAAGCTCCAATGACGATGGCCCTGTGGTCACCGTCATGGAGAGAGTGTAGGATTCAATTCAACATCCTGAGCCAAGCCGAAAGCATGGTCTATGCTGACCGTACGGGCGGAGAATTAGCCATTAGGCCGCGTTGGGGCCCTATCGAGCCAAACTGAGAGATCGTCCAAGGGCTGGTAAACTGGTATAAAGTACCTTATAAGGCAGCAAACAGGAGGATCGCTAGTTGGAATGCACAGTGGCTGGCTAGCTCCGCCTAACTGATCATCGTAATCATTGTCTTCATGCTTCAAACATACGTTATTGTATTTAGCACAAACCACCCAAAGCTGTTGCGCCCGAAGTCGAGAAAGCAGTGGCGGATTTTGTAAAATATACTACGGAAACAGGTCAGTAGACTTGACTCAGATGCGAGACTCTCGTTTTATAGTGGAGTTGGCGCTCATATAAAAAACTCTTTGGGAACATGCGATGACCCTCTGAAACATTCAGCTGGCGTCGATGGTCTTCGGAAGGAATGCCGTATCGCACTTGATTTCAAGCCAAAGCCAGGCACATATAGCAAATTTGAAGCGTTTCCACAGCTCAATCGGTATCCGGTAAGTTGCAAGTATCCGGACCGGGGGGGGGGCATTTTGTACTATCATTGCTTCCTTAGTTCCGGTTTACATGTCTCACTCTGGCGAAACCTGTGAACTCTTGTGAAGCTGGAACAAGGTCGTCAAGCCATCATGTTAAAACCTGTCAACTTGAGAAGAGGCTGTCTGTGCAAAATGCCCCTCCCTCTCCTCTCTCTCTCTCTCATCTCGTCTCTCTCTCGTCCTCTCTCTCTCCCTCCTCTCGTCGTCAAAATGCAGCCGTGTAGCCATCTTCCGCAATTAACTGCGCCGTGTTAGCCTTCTTCCATATGGGACACACATAAGCTTGTTAAGTGCACTTTGATTAGTACTCAAAGGCACATTTAGCAGTTACTTGAGAGGTAAGATGCCTTTTCTATGCAAAGTAGGAAGGTTATCAGCGTGGAAGATGAACAGCTTTCGCTACTCGGAATAGTGAGCTGCGGTCATCCTCAGTTATATGTGATTAAGGAAATTCCATGCCTCGACGAAACTCGAGTCATTTTACTGCCTCTCGATGAATCCGATTACGATTACATACACGCGAATAGAGTGAAGATGGATAAGGTTAGGATGACATTTAAAATGTTGCGAGCAAGTGAAAAACGTCAAATTGAGAGCTGGCAAATTTTAGGCAGAAAGGGAATTCATCTTGACCCAAGGTCCAAAAGGCAATACCATCGAGGATTTTTGGAAGATGATCTTTCAGGTTAGTAGGATTTCTTCGTGGAAGCACTAGATAGGAGTGGAACTCCATATTGACGCTGGGGCCCCGCCCATTTCTCTGCCTACCCAGCTATCGTGGAATATGTCTTTGTTCATATATTTCAGCAGCAATGCTCCGGTATAATCATGTTGTGCAATTTCTACGAAGAAGGTACACAGTCGTGCGATGAGTTCTGGCCGACAGATACTGGTGGATACAAATACTATGGGAAAATGTTTGTAAACAATAAGCGGGTCAGTTCATTTGTCTAGTCAACACATCTAAGCCGCCCACACGGCTTTCGAGTTCTTTGCTGACTGCGGTCAGACTTGAAGACAAACTCCGCGCTGGCTGTATGGGCGGAGTCAGTCAACTATTGTGCCTTCATTCCTCCTAACATCTACCAACAATCCCCTAGTTCTCTCTTCCTCTAAGACAGACGCCTCGAGGAGGAATGTTCAGTTCTTTACTGTCTCCGCCCATACGACCAGTGTGGACAGGGCTTAAGCAAAGTTCAGCTTTATCAAGCAGCCGATGACTGTCCTTTCAGATAGATCATCTCGATCAGTACGATGTCTATACACTCGAAGTGTTACCTGACGGTTGTTCTAACTCCATACTAACACGCCTTGCTCATTGTACTACATGGCCTGAAAAGGTAAGCGGTAGGCTATATGTGGCGCTCCTTGCAATCAACGAGGAGGGGGTTCATCCTCATAAGAAGCACAAAAGGGGCAAGGATGGGTCCTCCAATGTAGCCAGTTCGTGTGTCAGAGTCTGCTGAACGTGTATGGTACCAGCTAGCCGACCCTGAAAGGACGGGAGGCTTCAAATCAGAGCTGACTCCTACCATTCCTGATCGTGCACCGCTGTTGTCATTTGTCATTACACCATTCCCCTAACATGAATAGAAACTGAGGAAAATCTCGTTTAGGCGGTCCCATCCAGTGGCCGAATGGTTTTGCGATTAATACGATGGACGCAGTCATTAGAGGTAATCATTTTGGAATCAATGGGACACGAGCATGTTTAGAGGCTGACGGTCATTGCCGGCGTGATTGGTGGAAAGACTGCGAGAAGGCGTCTGGTCACACCTCTTTCAGCCCTTCCACCAGTGACATTGGCGACAATCACCGCCCAGCAATCATTGTCCACTGCTTTTGACTGACGAGCTTCTAGAAATGCCACATTACCGCGAATTAAAATATGGCGTATGAACCTCAAAACTGTCAGGTCGATTGGAACACGCAATTTTTGACGGCTGCGTACCTACAAATAGTGAAAAAAACGGCTAAGATGTCCGCTAGAAGCTAATCGACTAATTTAGGCCCATGGACACCCCTTAGGCCCATGCCGACCCTCACCGGCTGCTAGCTACTAGCTAGTAGCCACTATGTTATCTTTCTCTATAACATTTCGGACTGCTTTTTCTGCTGCTTTTCTCCGCTAATCAGATACTTAGCACTTTTTTGTGCCTATTTGAGTTCCGTTTCCCGCAATTCGCGGTCGCGAACTGTGCCTGTTCAATCTATTTCCCATTGTCAGAGTAAGCGCAATGCATTTAGCCTGGTCCGATCACACTCCTATGCAGCGCTGGCGTTGGTCGAACCGGTACATTCGTCGCAATAGACACTGTTTGTACACGACTTTTCAAAGGATTCGAAGGAAATGTGAGGAGCAGAAAAA